GTGGACATTGGAGGCTTCCCCCCAAACCTCGATGAGGTCCACGATCTCCGCACTTGACCAGGCGGGCGCCCGCCTTTTGCGCCCCCGGGCAGGCTCCTGGGAGCCGCCAGGCTGGTCCTGGGGAGCAGTGGAGGGCTGGGCGCCCCCGATGCCCCTTTAAGGGCTCCGGGGCCAGGAGGGGGGCAATAGAGTTTCCCTGGTGTTGGCTAGAGTGGCCACCAGGGAAACCTGGGAAGCCTTAGCCTCCCACTGGTTCGAATTTAGGGTCTACACAGCCCTTAATTCGAACTAGCTAGTTTGAACTAGGCGTTAGTCCTCGTAAAATGAGGTTTACCTAGTTCGAACTAAGCGCTCCGCTTTATTTACAATATTTAAAAAACATCAAAATAACTAGTGTGTGGTTCAATAAGAAATGACATTTCTGTTCAGTTTTTGATTTCTGTTAAGAGAAATCTAAAACTAGAGCCTTTAAATTAATATAATGTATCAAATGTGTTGGGCCAATTTCTGTTCATATTTAAAATTATCACTGCCCAGCCCCGACCCTTCTGGAAGTGTACAAATCAGGTGTAACTTTGTTAGTGTTGTTACTTCTGATTTACATCATTATAACTGGGAGTAGAATATGGTCCACAGCATACAAACCTGTATTACAAAGCTGAAAGTATGTAGTCTGTGGATGCTGTTGTTTAGACCCAGCTGTGATTAACATTGTAACAATTGCTATTACAATATATTTCTGTAATCCTTACAACATAAAAACACAAAGGGTTAGAATAGGGATAGAAATGTAGCCGTGTTAGTCTGGTTAGGGGTTAGGACTGTATTAATTAAGTTTAGGATTAGGACTGTATTAATTTTATGCTGTATTGAATATTGCTGTCTATTAGTATCTCAGTAGTGTCAATGACATCCTGTCATCTATAATATCAGCATCATGGGTATGCATTTATCTACTTTATTTAGCATTCTTTTTTGTTCCTCTAGTGCAGCAGCTTGCCAGATGCTGATCTGTTCACATATTAGATTAGCATTTACATTAATAATTGAAAAGTAATATATAGAAAAGACAACCCAGCTCCTAGCTCATCCACAGAAGTAGTCAGGGTGGATAAAAATGTTTTTTGAAGGAAAAAAAACCTATCTAAAGATAGTTTTAATTAAGATACATTATAGCTCAAAGATACGTCATCACGGAATAGGAATAAAATCCACCATGGTAGTGGTGCATACAGTGACATCATAATATGGATGTCACAATATACTAAACATATTCTGTTATTTTTGACTAAAACACTTTCTTATTTTCCAGATTAGTGTCTCCTGTTCAAGTTGTAATGAAACAGTTTGACACTTTAATCATTATTTTGTTGTTGTAAGTGTCAAACTACTTCATTACATTGCAAACAAGACATACTTGCAACAAGAAACTGAGGTACTTTAATATGTATTAAATGGAAGTTGCCCCAATATTTTCTACATAAAATACAAGTTGAACCTCTGTAGTCTGGCACCCTCGGGCCAGGTGCTAAACCAGAGAATTTGCTGAACCATAAGAGGTCAATATTGTCTTTTCAACACTTTTGTCTTTTCAGTATTTTCAACACTTCCACTGTTTACTGGGCTCTCAGAAGACATTTGGGGGTAAATTAGAGCTAAACAACAGCACACAACACATAGCTGGGACTTGTGGCTGTAAACAAACTTTGAGACTATGGGAAACTTTGCCACACCTATGATAAATGGATATCCACCTAACTAATATCATGGTAGACCACGGATGTTGCAAGATCAGATAGTGCTAGGCTAGAGGGGATCAACCCATACTATAAAATAAAAATGTGATTGTTTTGAATATTATATTTTGTCTGGATAATATGACCTGATGTGATCAATGAGATGCACTACTACTACTATCACTGAGACATAATGAAATATAAAAACAATAATAATAAAAGAAAAAATTAAACAGTTTAAAAAAGATATATTTCAAAAAATATCCTAAACAAAATTTTTAAAATGGATATTTTATTAGAATTTCTAATCCCCAGGAAATTAAAAAATTTGTGTTCTAGTTCAGAACATATATTTCAAACTTTTCTGCAAACAGTTGAAAATTCAAATTTCAGTCTCTATTATTCTCATTCAGATTACAAAGGAGAAAAAAATGTAAGTTATGAATATTAAATAACATGGAAGCTAAAAATGTTTTCTTTCCTACAGGAAACACAAAGGACATTCTGGTGATTTATGAAGAAGAGGCCAAAGAATGGGCTCTGTATTTAGAATCGCTTTTCAAACACATTATAAAAGAAGAAGGAATCTTACTTTACAACCTAGAGACTTCATCTATTCAGCATCTGGAGTCATTCTCTCTCTCCTGTTATAGATGTAAACTGCTCATATTAACAAATGGACTTCTAAGATGCCTGAATCAAAAGAGAAGCTATTTCCTGCACAGAGTCCTTGAGCCTCCAGAGAAGGTCGTGATTCTTCTTTGTGGGGTGGAGAACGCACACATTCTATATGAGACACTGACCTTAGACCAAAGCAGCCAGGAGATCTCCACTGATCTGGAGCCTGAGGAATATCTCTCCATTGTCGCTGGCATTATTCAACAAGGTAATTTTAAATTTTAATCCTGCTGGTGATACATTTGTTACTTAATTATGATTAAAGGTATCTTTCTCATAGAAAGTGAGTAAGGAGGATGAACTTTGGAAAGTGTAACACTGAAGTGACTGTTCTTCAGCATCTGTCTGGTGAGATGAAAGGAATGACATACCTTGTCTCTCTGACTCTAGGTTCAGAAAATTATAGAAATCTAATGCCTGATATTAGTATTGCAGAAAAATGTATAGACAAGTCTCATAACAGAAAATGTAAAATTAGGTGAGTGGCTGAACTACTTCTTTGTTTCGGTTTTCACCAAGAAGGTTGGTGGGGATTGAATGCCTACAATAGTGAATGCTGGAGAAAAGGAGGTAGATTTAAAAGTTACAATAGGAAAAAGAAAAAGTTTAAAATTACTTAGAAAAGTTAGATATCTTCAAGTCACCGAGCCCTGATGAAATCCATCGTAGAATACTCAACAACCTTACTGACGAGCTGTGTGTGCCTGATGTTTTTAACATAAAAGAAGACCCTGAGCACCCCAGTCGTGACGTTGTATGGTTGGGGATTCCCCATCCACCCCCTTGCTCCCAAGGGAATATACAGTAGTGGTACCTCCACCTAGCTGGCCCTGTACATACTTAATGGTGTACCTTGGGAGCCTCCAGGAATAAAATTATTCCAATAATAATCTGGATCTAACTGCAAAACAACAATTCTAAATAATATATATCTAATTGATTGAATTAGAATTAACACACCTTCACTTTACAACTTAAAGAAACAGGGTATGTCTACACTACCCCGCTAGTTCGAACTAGCGGGGTAGTGTAGACATACCCTGTTTCTTTAAGTTGTAAAGTGAAGGTGTGTTAATTCTAATTCAATCAATTAGATATATATTATTTAGAATTGTTGTTTTGCAGTTAGATCCAGATTATTATTGGAATAATTTTATTCCTGGAGGCTCCCAAGGTACACCATTAAGTATGTACAGGGCCAGCTAGGTGGAGGTACCACTACTGTATATTCCCTTGGGAGCAAGGGGGTGGATGGGGAATCCCCAACCATACAACGTCACGACTGGGGTGCTCAGGGTCTTCTTTTATGTTAAAAACATCAGGCACACACAGCTCGTCAGTAAGGTTGTTGAGTATTCTACGATGGATTTCATCAGGGCTCGGTGACTTGAAGATATCTAACTTAGCCGCGCGGCACGGGGTTCGAACGAGCGGGGATTTAAAAATGGCGGCGCCCCGCTTATGCAAATGAAGCCCAGGAAATTCAAATCCCGGGCTTCATTTGCAATTGCGGTATGCCTACATTACCCCGCTAGTTCAAACTAGTGGGGTAGTGTAGACATACCCACAGGGTTTAACAGACTGAACGTGAATACAAAAAAAAAGTTAACAAATGTGGCAGGGTAACCTCACTCCTGGGTCCCTGACCCCACTCACTCCAGCAATCCCAGTATTGCACTGTCACAGGCTGGGCCCCCCTCCTCAGACTTCCAGCCCTGTCATCATTGGGGTTGCCTACCCGTGTACCTTCCCCCCACCTGTGTCTCCCTACAGTCAGTTATAAGTTTTGCGTACAGTTCATGGCCCGCCTAGGATCCCACTGAGTCCGTGTCTCCCTAGTCACCAATGGCAGCTCCAACCACGCTGGGCTGGTCTCCCTCAGCCAGAGCGAGTCTCTCCCTCCTCTCTGCCTTCTCCGGGCATCCTTTGAAGGGCCCGCCTTGCATGGTCCCGCCCCTCACTCCGGACACCGGCTAATGATGTCACCACTTGCTCTTGGCAGGGTTTGAGCTCTTCTCCCTCAGCAAACAAAAGGGACTCAGGGCAGGTGCTCCCAGATCCTGCTCTCAGCTGGGGTCTCAAGCTGCTAGGAAAAAAGGTTGCCCCAAAGCCCCTCATTGGAGCACCTCATCCCTCTT